AGAGAGAGAGAGAGAGAGAGAGAGAGAGAGAGAGAGCAAAAGTAGGCTTCAATTAGAATAGTTATCTCCAGAGAATGCGATGATTTTTAGTCGACTTTTCGCACAAAAGTACCGTTAGTTCAATGGCTTACGGCATATGTAAGTATATGTGAGCGTCAATTGTGCGGCTAATCCTATGCCATTCAACGGCCAACTCGTGCTCAAAATGTGAATAATTTAATTTAATTTTTCACAAAACGAAACGCGAGAACAAAATAACACTTTTTTTGTAACTTTGAAATGCAAATTACTATTTGCTGTCATTAAGACACGTAAACCAAGAATATAAAGAGGGCAGAAATGTTGCAACTTTTGCACTCATACTTTGTAATTATAAATGTGATGGTCCTATGATTTATATACATAATAATGGGATCTACTGTACGTCTAACATGAAAAATGTAGTTAAATATACTAATTTTTGGACACTTGCTCTGCACTCGCGTTCACAATATGAGCTCAAAATATAACTTCACATTTTATTGGGCGTAATGTCTCCCAAATGTACACATATTTTGCCCATAATTCAAGTCATAAAAGATTGAGATACGCTATAAAACTATCTAATGATTCAATTGGTTTCTTTTGCTTAAAATCCGATCGCTTTTTATATGCAATTAATTGATTCTTTATGCGTAAACTCGTAGCACTTTTAGCTAATCTCCAGTGGATTATCGACAGACAATTTACAACATAAACTAACCATTCAATTGTATGTAATTTATACGCTATTTTAAAAACAATGTTCACTTACAGTGTATTAAAACAATTTTGTGCTGAATTTCTAAATACTGGCACTATTTTGTTGTTTCAGACATAAAATTTATAAAAATCTAAAATTTAAAATATTTATATATGACTTGAATTTTTAAAATTCAAATAAATTATCTGTAATTCAAGAGTGAATTTACATTTAAATTATATTCTCAAATATATATATATTTAGTTTCAAGCAAAAACAAATAAAATATATTAAACCAATAGAAATATTCCTATAAATGCAATGATTATTAATAATTTATCAAAAAAATATACAATATTACGAATTCAGTGAAAATTCTCTTTATATACAAATTCATAAATAAGTAATATTTGTATTTCATATTAAATAAATGATTTTCATTTAAATCTTCAAACAATCAGAGATAACAGTAATTACTACATGACTAAAAATGTATTAAAACATCTAATAATATGGGGTGTTTCGCATATTACGTTCGCACTTTTTAAGGAATCTAGACCCATTTGTTGGCAATTGTTCGCATGAAGTCATTTTAAAAATATTACCTTAGCGAATGTCGCTTACTATTACCGGTATTAAGAAATATAATACCACAATATTCCCCCCCCCCCAAAAAAAAAGTTGCTTTGGCCGACCCCTCCCCTCAAGTGTAGACGTAATGTGCGAATCACTGCTAACAAGTAAGATATGAGAGATGAAGACATGATATAAACTGATGGAGAGTTAGTCGACAAACATAGCGGACACGACTTTCGGTAGTTTAGTGCGCGCTCTGTAGTCGTACTCAAACAAACCCATGTTGTCGTCACACATGTCGTGATATACTGTACACAAGCGGCCGATCTCTTCCACCGAAAGCATAGTACACCTCAACTCGGGATCGATGTCCGCCTTTTCAAACACTTCGCCCACCAATGGCTTCAGGTCTTTGGGGAATAGTGTGCCGACATTGAAGCGGATGTATTTGTTCCGGTGATGGAACAGATGGCGCACAAACTTCTCGATCACATTGAATGGCAGTTGAATGCGGGGTTCGATGAGTGGTGTGAAGCGCACTAACGACACGTCCACTGCGGGCGGCGGCGTAAACGACGAGCCGTTTATGACAAACCTGTGCTCCACTTTGCATAGGTTTTGACACATAACCGACAGCCGGCACCTCATGTGAGACATCACCGGCGCTATAATCCGTTGGCCGACTTCGTACTGAAAGGTGAGCGTCAGGCCGACCCTCCCGTACGAGAACAGACCCTTTCGGGCGGACATATCACGTAACCAACGGATAATCAAAGGCGTCGACACATTGAACGGCAAATTACCCACAATTCGTATGGGAGGACTCGTGTCCGTCCACTCGCGNCGACGGATTCTCTCTTCGTTTTTACAGAGTATATAACAATGTATTGATTTGTATTGAATTGAAAACATATTCATTAATTTTGATGATCAATGAGACGATTGTAATAAAACACTTCTTTTATTGTGAGATAAGGCGAAGAATTTGGGAATTATTTGAAAGCAAACACTATTAATAAAAGTCCATTTAATGAAAAAATTGATGGTTTTATAAATGAATTGATTGAAAGCATTGCCATAATAAGAGTTTTTCTTTAATAAAACAATATTAATAACTTTGAAAACTCTGAAAACTAAATAAATCAGATATCCTTATGAGACGTCCAATGTTTTTAAGCAACAAAAAACTTTTATATTAGTCATAAATTTAATTAAAAATACATTTCTTCTTACAATCGATAATTTCATTTCACACATAATTATAGAGCAAAATATTCTATGATTTCCCAGAAGTAAAGCAAAGTTTCATAACTTATATAAATTATCAGTAAATCAGTGATTATGAATAACTATGAAAAATGTTAATTGATGTTCAATTCAGTCGTTAATTAATAATTAAGAGTCTCAATGGCCATCATATTTGAATTACATTTCCGACTAGAGTTTACCATCATTAGTCCCAAATGCCTCCAACAGAGTTCATAATATCCCAATTCAGTGGACTAAATGGATTTGGATCTGATGGTTGGCCACAGCTATTAGTTATTTTCATGTTTGGGCATAAATAAACTCAAATAATAGTATTTTTGTATATAAAACAATCAATTTTAAAATTCTATATTATGTTAGATAATGTGCTTTTTGTACAAACATGTAATGTAAATAAATCTTATTATTTTCACTTAAAATTAAATTTAATTACTCAACCATCAACAATAATTTTAAAAAACAAACAAAAATTTTAATGATAATAATTATTGGAAAATATACAAAAATAATACCAACATCATTACATGTCACAATGTCTAACCTCTACAGTATAGGTATATAAAAAAAACGCACATCATATTGGTATTAATAAATAAAAGAAATACAATATTAAACATTTTCGTATAATTGACAATGGTAAAATTAACATTAATATTTTGTTAATGACGGAAGAATATGTTACCCTAATCTCGATTGGGATTAGTAATAAGACCGGGAATATTGTATTTCGGGATCGTTGAATGAAAGCCTAGGGTTAGTCTAAGTTAATGGAGTGCATAGAGAATATGCGAACAAAATTCAATCAAATGAGAGAATTACTAATGAATCAAATCTAATGATCGGACTTTTT